GGAGAATATTTTTCCTCTGAATTTAATAAGTTTGTGAAGAGAATGGTTAGATACATCAAACAAGTGCTCCTTATACACCACAACAAAATGGTTTGGCTGAAAGGAAAAATAGAACTTTAGTTGATATGATTAATGCTATGTTAATGAATGCATATTTATCACATAATTTATGGGGTGAACACTTTTAACAGCTTGTCACATATTAAATAGGGTGCCTTCCAAAAGCTTACATGTTTCACCATATGAACTTTGGAATAATAGAAAACCTAATTTAGATTATTTTAAAGTGTGGGAGTGTATATCATTCTATAGAATTCATGATCACCAAAGAACAAAACTAGGTCCTAGAGGAATTTAAAGTGTTTTTGTTGGATATGCTCAAAATTCTAAGGAATATAGATTGTTGGATCTAGAATCTAATGTTATAATAGAATTTATTCATGTTGAATTTATTGAAAATAAATTTTTACATAACACTGTTGAAGAGGAAATGACTGAATCAAATGAAAGTGATAATAATGCATATAGATTGTCACATTCCAAAATTACTACAAGTAAAAAAGAAAAGTGACAATATACAAATAGAACTAAGAAAGAGTCAAAGAATAAGGAAAGAAAAATGTCTTGATTCTGATTTTATCTCTTCACAGTCCTTAGTCTTTCTTGTAGAAGGAGATAGAAAAAATGTCTATAATCAAATTCCTATCTTATTAAATGTTGAAGAAGACCCAAAGACATTTCAAGAAGTTATGGCTTCTCGAGATGCTGCCTTCTGGAAAGAGGCTATTAATGATGAAATGGATTCAATAATGTCCAACAATACTTGGGTTTTAGTTAATCTTCCAAATGGATCAAAATCCATAGGTTGTAAATGGGTCTTTCGGAGGAAGTATAATACAAACGGTTCTATCCAAACCTTCTAAGCAAGATTAGTAGCAAAAGGTTTCACTCAAAAATAAGGCATAGACTATTTTGATACTTATGCTCCTGTAGCAAGAATAACGTCCATTAGAGTGCTTTTATCGTTGTCTTCTATATATAACTTGTATGTGCATCAAATGGATGTTAAAAGGGCCTTTTTAAATGGAAACCTTAGTGAAGATATTTATATGCAGCAACCAGAAGGTTTTGTTCTTCCAGGAAATGAGAAGAAAGTATGTAAATTGATAAAGTCTCTCTATGGTATGAAACAAGCACATAAACAATGGCATGAAAGATTTGATTGTGATGTACTTTCAAATGGATTTATACATAATCATGCTGACAAATATATCTTCTCCAAGTTCACAAAATAATACAGAGTTATCATTTGTCTATATGTTGATGACATGCTAATTTTTGGTACAAATATGCTTAGTATTACTGAAACCAAGAATTATCTAACTTCAGTTTTTAAGATGAAAGACCTAAATGAAGTAGATATTATTCTAGGCATAAAGGTGAAAAGAGAGAACAAAAGAATGACTTTATCACAATCGCATTATATTGATAAGATCCTTGCTAAGTTCAGTCATTTAGGCATAAAGGAGTTTAATACTCCTTATGACTCCAGTATCAAGCTAACTGAAAATACTGGAAGAGCAATAGCCCAATTAGAGTATGCAAGTGGAATAGGTAGTATGATGTAATTAAAATGCATTGTACAAGACCTGATATAGCATTTGTTGTTTGTAAACTTTCAAGGTTTAATAATAATCCAAGTAATAATCATTGGAAAGCAATAACTAGAGTACTTGGATATTTAAAATATACAAAATATTTGGGCATTTGCTATAATGGTTTTCCCGTTATTTTAGAGGGATATTCTGATGCAAGTTGGATTACTAGTGTTAATGATAATAAATCCACTTCAGGATGGATATTTACTTTGGGAGGTGGTGCCACTAGTTGGGCATCCAAGAAACAAACTTGTATTTTTTATTCTCCGATGGAATCTGAATTCATAGCATTAGCAGCTGCTGAGAAAGAAGCAGAATGGTTGAGGAACCTGTTATTAGATATAAAGTTGTATCCACAACCTATGTCAGCCATTTCTGTATTTTGTGATAGTGAGATTACCATGTGTGTGGCTCACAATAAGATATATAATGGGAAATCAAGACATATAAACCGGAGGCACGCTTATATAAGAGAATTAGTCACAAATAGGACTATAACTATTGTGTATGTGAGATCGAATAAGAATTTGGCAGATCCATTTACCAAACCATTGACGAGAAATGTAGTACAACAAACTTGTGAAGGAATGGGGCTAAAACCTCTAAATTGAATACAAGCACCAGGAACCCAACTTTGAGTTGGTATACACTCTAACAAAATAAGTTCAATGAGGTAATAACAAGTTGTTTTGTATTGCTTAAGCATTGGTCTCCTTTCGGAGCCTTAATTCCAATGTACTACATATTGTTATGGGAGGAGTCAAGAAGTTGTTAAATATCTGAAATAACTAGAGAAAAATAACAAACTTCATGGTGCAAACTGTTACACAAAGAGGTTGAATTAAATCTTAATAAAATTAGTAAATGTTTGTAGTAACAGGAACATTGTAGCTAATTTCACCTATATGAATATTGAAGTGGTGCCGCTTTAAGCAAGGTTTAAGAGGTTGATCTTGTAAATATTCATGAAGTCAGGATGAGCTCATGGCCATAAATGTGCTAAAGCAAATACTGAATTTTCTTAGCTACTGTATAATATTGTGCGTGTGATATTTTCGATTTTGACACAAGGAGTTGTGATTCAAACCTTTAAGGTACCAATAACTTCGTCAAGACTTTAAGATATTTACACTAATGGAAAGTTCAAATCAAAATAAGATACTCTCCAATATGTAATATTATGAAAAATATAACAAACTAGTGGGGGATTGAAAGATAGTTTGTTATTGATGTTGGAAAAGTAGGCTTGTCCCACATCGGTGGTGCAAGGCCACTTTTTGTGCCTTTTAAGTCCTTGTCCTTTTATGTGTTTAATTTAGAACACATACTCTTATATGTGTGCAAATAAATATATATTATATTATATATATATATTAATATCAAAGACTTGGACTTGGGGCTTGGGCGCGGGCCGGGTCGGACCTAAAATAAATAATTTTATTTATTTATTTCTACAATTAAATTTGTTTTATTTTAAATTTAAATTTTACATTTATTTGAATAAACAGATGCGTCTGTTTATGAAAGAACACATCCTTTTGAAAAGGTCTGATGGTTGCCTATAAATAGAAGTTCTTCCAACAAAGTGGATATAGAAAAATCTGCAGTATATTCTTGGCTTGTTATATCCTGAAGAAGATTGTTTGTATTTCCTCATTTTGTATACGGGCAATATCTTCTTTAAGGAAAATCGTTCTCACGCCTCAAGCCTTCTTCAATTTCTTTTTTTTCGATTATTATTTTTCTAACAGAGTATGCTAATGAAAAATATGAACTGAACAACAGAGCTTAAAAGAGAAAATGTAATGTATTGCTTTGTTATGCGTGAATATGATGATTACAAAATGATTAGAACCCTCTTTATATAGTAGAGGAATTCTACTTATGGTACAATTCCAAATACAGAAGGAAATCCCATGATTGACTAAATAACCGGTCTTGACTTGATACGTGCCGAGATTTCCGCCACGATCCTTGCCCGATCACGGATATCTCAGCTTTCTGTTATTCGACTTATCCGGCTTCCTTCGATCTCGCTCGATCTCTATGTCACTTCGATCTCGATCACAACTGGTCTCGATCTTGATCGGTCATTGATTCATGAACTTAGTAATCCATCTCTGTGCCACGGTCCGATATAAATCAAAGTCGATCCCTCACTTATCATGCTCCAGCCTCGATCAGTCTCACAAAAAAGACAAACCCGATTTTGACCGTATACAGTATGTGGAGCGTAACGAGGGATAAAAAGATTAATTGCTGCTGCCATATATAAATGGCTACTACATCTTTTACCGTCTACCAGCTAGATTTAGACCTAATTAGTGTGTGCGTCATATCTTACGAACATTATTGTCTTAAATTATAAAAATATCGATTTGCTTGTTAGAGAAAAAATAGATGCTTCTAATTGGTCAAAGTCATTGCACAAAAGGATTACTTGGATGTACATAATTACTAGAAGCTACGTATCTAGTAAATTATATTAAAAAGATTAATTTTAACACCTACGAATACCAGTGCGAGTCTGAGACGATCCAGAAAATTTTAGATATAATTTCGTGATTCAAATAGTTATAGAAGGTAATAATTACTGAGGCCAGGTCAGAGCTATAGGACGCAAATATCACTTAACCAGCAAGGGTTTATGTAGAGGGGTTCTATAGGACACGTGTACGCATCCACCGAAGATGGCAGCGGGAAAGACGGGAGCACGAATGAGGTAGCTTATGTTTTTTTTCATTCTCACTACCTGGTGTATAGTAGAATCTGGAGAATATGAACTTCTCGCATTCTTCTTTTATCGTCTCCCTAGATCATGAATCGTATCGTAAATGTTAGTATAATTTAATTTTTTCAAAAATACTTAAGTATATGTGGGTGCACCCAAACACTAAGTATCATATGATGCGATTGTTATTGGGTGCACCTCCCTATTAATTAAGTAGTTTTTCTTTCTTTCTTTTGTTTATTCTTTCAAAAAAATTAGCACATTAAAATTTATATTTTTTTGGCACCGTATAATCTTATATGATTAAGCGGAATGTGTATATTAAAACTAGTAACAGTTGATGATGTAGCATATAGTCAAGAGGTTCAACTGATCCCACCATTTTCGACATGAAATATAGATATAGATGGAAGAAAGTTATTATTTTTAAAAAATTAATTTTGAGCTTATAATTGCAATAGTAAAAATTAAAGGTTGAACCCGTAAAATTTATATCTTGAATCCACCTCTCAGCCTAACCTTCCCAAAATCCTGAATCCCCCTTTGTTGACCAGAGCATAAAAATTTGGGGGCTCAGCAGAACTAGAGAAGGATAATAAAGAATGAATGAATTAAATAATGGTAGAAGAAATGTTTTAGTACAACAAATGAGAATAAAGAAGCAGTAGCATGTAGGAACAAGTCATGCGTGGGCTAATAATTAGAACGATATTCATCTGCATAAAGGCGAAGAAGGTCGTCCACAGGAGGCAACTCTTTAAAAATATTGTCAAAATCGTTGAATGACATCCCCCGCCCTAAACTTGGACTTGGTTTGCGCGCAATGGACTCGGTCTCAGAAATTAATGCTCTACTACTTTGATCATCCCAATTAGTGTAGCCGTGGCGGTAGTAATTAGCTGCCGCGGTTGGCGGTGGAGCGGCGGCTACCTCCATCTCTACAGTGGAATTCTTGCCGGTTAGTCTCTGAACTACTGACTTGAAGCTGCTGGCATCCGTCTCTATATATTGTGTGTTGATTACAACTATCTTCACTGGAACTGTCATATTCTTTGCTGCTTTTGACATGTTTAATTAATTTCTAAGCCTTCTTCTTCTTCTTATTGCTAGCAACTAACACAGCCAATAGCTTCTGTTTCTTTGACGTTAAATGGGAAAATGTTGACAACTGGCTTTAAGGAAGGAGGGGCTGTTTATTTGATTACTGAAGATAATATGTGGGTACGTATTTATAGAGGGTGTAGGATTTGGAAGTATGTACGGCAAATAATTGAAGTTTCATTGTTTTAGTTTTTGTTAACATTGACATGGGTGACAGTTTGACAGTTAAGAAATGGCGTCGTTAAAAAAGAGTTGACCGTTGTGTGCTGTCTAGAAGGACTGACGTGTTAAGTCAATTTTCAAAGCAGATGATATTAAAAAAAAAAAAAAATT